GTAGTTTGTTGATATTGAGGTTGATATTGAGGTTGAGATTGAGAATAGGTGTATCTGTAGGGGTATGTTTGTGTTGAGGTAGGAGTAGATATAAGAATAGGTATTTTTGTGGTGAATATTATCTGCGAAAGTAGAAGCTAATGTTGAAGGTGAAGGTTGAGGATGATGATAATGATTATTATTATTATTATTATTATTATTATTATTATTATTATTATTATTATTATTATTATTATTATTAGAAGAAGAAAGAGAAATTGGGAAGAGAGAGAGTGTAGATATTAATGAGGAGAGAAAAATGAGAGGAGATAGTGTAAATATTAATGAGGAGTGATGAATAGAAGTAGAGAGAAATGAGTTGGTGGAATAAAATATATATATTAGTTAGTAGGTTTTAGTAGGTTTGAAAATTGAAAAAAGTATAAATAGTGTATTTCCAATATAATTTGATGAGAAAAAATAAGATTTTCTGGATAAAATTATCAAACAAACATGATCTTAGTTTTATAAATAGTATAAAACTAGAAATTTGTTTTGGAAATAGAAAAAAACATCCGCTTACCTTCTAAAAAATGTAAACAAATAGTCGTTGCACAACCTTTTTTTTCTCGTCTTGCTCTTTTAAAAATAAATTTACCAAGTGGGCGACAAAGTAACTAATTTTCATTAATCTTTCTTGTGTTTATTTTAAAAATTATTAATCTAGAAAAAATAAAGTTGCATGGAGAAATAAAGAGAACAAAGAAAATAAAACTGCTTGAAATATCAGGCTCCTTTTAACATTAAAATTTCATATTTCAGGATAAAAGTTTAATCATTCTGTTACAAAAATGCTGCTCGAAAATGCTGCCCCATGCAAACATAAATTACAAGGATAAAAACATATATAGCAGCTTAACAAGGAAACAATACTAAATTAGTAATAATGATAAGAGTAATAACAATGTTAATAATAACTGCATACTGAAGGCAGTAAGTAGTAGTAAAAAAAATAATTACTCCTTGCTCCTTGAGGACCTGTCTTTCCGATGACCACCGAGAATACGAGAAATCTGAAGACCTCTGCTGAAAGCTTGGTTGAACAACATTCGTGTTTGGAATTCAGACACAAACGGGAACCATGCGAGAAACGCCACTGGCGTAAACAGAAGCAATCCCATTACTATCTCGTACCCTCGTGCTAGTGTTCTAACCGAACCCCAGAATCCAGCTTTTTGTACTACAGGCTTACACGCTTGTGCAATCTTCAAGTTTCGAAAAAAAAAAAAAAGAATTAAAAAAATGTTACATCAGAAGTTTATTACAAAAGAACAATAGTATGACTCACCAGAAGTAAACCCCAACCAGTAGGCATGAATGCGAGTATACAGACAAGAATATCGCGCGGTGTCATATGTGGGAGGGCAATCAGAATAGCAAGGATAGATACGAATGTGACGAATATTAAACCCTTTATTAGCCGGAAAACGAGCTGGAAATTTGCACTGAATTTCCTCCTTCCAACAGAGATTGTCTGTTTAAATATATAAAAAAAAACAAGAGAAATTAATTATAAAGAAAGAAAAAAAAAAAAAAAAAAAGGACACCAATTTGGGAAGAATTAAAGAATTACACTCACCTTCATGACAAAAAGTATAGCAAAGATCACCAGCCACGATATACCATAAACCTGCAGTAGGCAACGCAAGCATTTATAAACAACTTCGAAAGAATTATATTCGACCAAAAAAGCCGATTGAAAAGGGGGAAATTCAAAAACGAAAGACATACCAAAACACTTTTCGTATGCCTTGTTATGTTCAAATGATAGACAAGCCCGTATTGATAAATGAAAAACCGTAACGATAAAATAATCTCAGCAACAATCCCACGTTTGCCCGAATGACGAAGATGGTCCTGCTCCTCCTCCCACCAAGATTCCCAACTTTTCTCTGGCGGCACACCGATACCGCCTCGATTACTAATCCACTTATTCCAATCAGTCCAATCATCCACTATCTTTTGCCACTCGAAGCCGGAAGGATTAAAAAGGAACGGAGCAAAAAGCCAAGTGCCGACCATAAACCACATAGATACAGTAATTAATATATACGCAACGGTGCCTCTGTAAGACTGGCCGAATATTTGATAAACGAGGAGCAGTATCATTAGCTCGAGGCCCTTCACAAAGTGGCTGCGAGAGTATAGTCGATAGTTATCTGCAAATTTCGCATGGAAGACTACAAATCCACGGCCAGTGGGCCTGTACTTTGCTCCTCCGTGGAGTAGTGTTCTTCCGTAGTAGTGTGTTTTTGTTCCGAGCGAGAATGTGAAGAAAACAGGTGCGAGCTGTAGCTGCATGAGTATGAATTCGCTTAGTGCGGTTCGAAAACCCTTTTCGAGTCCGATTTCCATCATCATTGGGAGTGCCATTAGAAATCCGATTTGGACGAATGACTGTGAGGCGAGAGCGACTTCGAGCGGCTTGTTATCTCGGATTCCTGGTATTTGACTTAGCCCTTTCTCGAGTCCGCTAAGAACTAGGTAAAGACGTCCATAAAGGAATACGTAAACAGTGAGCACCGTAATCTGCCATAGGTTTACATCAAGGTCAGGAAAAATAAAAGAAAAATAAAAGAAGAAAAAGAATAAACATATGTATGACATACTAAGGTACTGAAGTAGAATCCGATTGTGGTGAAATAGCAAGAAAGCATTCGGAAGAAGTCGAAACGATGGCCCAGCCTATATAAATCACGACTCAATGTCTGTTCTCCGTTGCCATTGGCAATTTTTGCCTCGAACAGAGAGATCTGATTAAGGCCTACGTCTCTGCCTTTACCAACTTGTATGTATTCGTGATGGGTAACATTGCCTTCGCGAAGTGTCGAATTGAAGCCTGCAATTAGAGTTATGATAGAGATAGAAAGTCAAGAAATTGCCGTCCATTTAAAGAAAGTTCAGCGTGTATACAACCAGCACCCAATATTATTGACCGTACTACCGTACCGGCAAAAATATCCTCGCTCAGATTGATAATCTTGGAGGCTTTGCTAACCCCACCTCTAGTAAGGTGAAATATCCTATCGAAAACATCCGGATGACCATAGTGAAACCGAACCCTGCACAAGGAGGCAATCACAAGATACATACATGTTAAAAAAAAAATATAGTTCAAAACAATTCTATTATGAAATCAATTTTTTGATTCGTTTTTAAATTTCCTCGGATGGGATAATTATTTTTTGACACAATTAAAGCTTAGATGTGGCACTACATAGAACCCCAAGATAGAGTATCACCTAGTCAATTAGATTGCCTACACATTACACACAACAATCAATAATGTACAAAGCGGGAAATGTGGGTGATTAAAATAGTATAACTTACTTCAGAGGGTTGGCCAACAATCTCTGACCAATAGTAACAAAACTTGTCTCTTGATTCGACATAAACCAAGCAAGAGAAGAAACACTGCATCATAATGTAAGAGAATATTTTGTCACTCACTGAAGCAGGAGTACACGAACACTTTTTAAGCCCCGAAATGTTAATGAAGACTCAATAAAAAAGAAAAAAAGAAAAATAAAGACTCGGAGCCTACCTTCCAGTAAAGATATGTTCCCTCAAACCAAGAATTGATGGATGCCTCACATCATGCTTTTTAAGAAATTCTTGAAGTAAGTTTCTCATTTTCAGAGCTTCTTCCATGTAGTTATCCTAAATTGGATATTCATTTCAGTACTCGGGCAAAATAGTCCAACTCACATGGGCAGGAAAAAAAAGAAACTATACCTGATTCATGTCGATAGTTTGTAAACCTTCTCCACGTGTGAAAATAATCGCGTGATTCTGATTTTCAGGTTTTCCTTCGCCCATAATAGCAGGTCCCGGAAGTTTTATACGATAAATAACCTGCAAATGAGACACACACCTATCATACTGCAAGTAGGATGATAAAAAAAAAACTGTCGTGAAAATGAATTAGCCTTCCAATGTCATTCACCAATTAGATATGCCTCTATCTATGATACCACTGCACATTTGCAGCTATCCATTAATAGCTTGAACCGTATATTTATCTATTATACCATCTTTATTTATCGACTTCTATTTTCATTTCCATTTTACCTGGTCCAGATTCTGTCCGGGCTCCGAAGAATTGGACTTTGGCAAAGCAGCCTTCACAAGAGTGGAATAGTACACCTTATCATTAATCTTCTTGGTCCTATCTTTACTTGGTTCTTCAACTTCATCTATATATGCTACTCGAAGTGATGGATACCTGTTTAGAGAAATGTTTTTTTAATTAGGTAACGCTGTTACAAGAAAAAAAAAACAGCCTTATAATATAGCTCTATTAGTCTTACGTTGTCATAAGCCTCAATATATCTTGAGCACGAGGATCGCCAGATCGTTTTTGAATACCGTATAACTGACAAGATACAACAAATGTGAACTTCATGTCTGCAACTGCTTGGCATTGTGTCCATAGAGACCTCTCTCCCTTTATCTGATCTTCGTTCAACTCAATGGCCTTATAGCCTTGCATCAAATCTGTTTAAAATTGTAAAAGATAAATGTTCGTACTGCAATAATTTGTACTGAAAAAAGACGTTCTCTTTCAAGGATATCAGGGTACAAAATAGAGTACCTTCATCCTTTGCCATATCGAGGAAGGCTTGAAGTTCTAGCGCTTTGCGATAGTACATCATCCCTCTCACTGTTGCAAATTTAGTTAAAGTGTCGGTCACTAAAATGAAGTAATGAAAATTCCTGACATGAAATACTAATTCGACAGAACTACAAATTAAACTAGTCAATAACCAAGTCGACAGAACTACGACTTCATCGTTACAAAACGAACCTACTTCAAACCTCAAATGAAAAGAAAAAGGACAAAATAGGACAAAAATAAATGGAAGTATACTCATTCATACCAGTTCTTGTCAATGTTTGGCCCCTGTATGATGCCCAAAGTCGTAGTTGCTCTTCTAATTCATGAGATTCTCTAAGTTCTTCTTCGTTGAAACACTTGACACGCTCCATAAAATTGTTCCATTCATCTGCATTAGTTTAATTCTAAGATAGGTAGAAAAGAAGGAATCCGTTGTACATGGTAGTACGACCACCTTAAGCACAAACCTGGGAAAATTTTCTGCAGGTAGAAGAGAATGGAAACACCGTCTTCATTAGGCACTTCAAGCTCAGGCAACGAAAAGAGGACCTCCTCCGTGTAATATGGAGTCAAAACACTAAGTAGGAACAGTATCTTAGTTAAATTCATAATTTAAATAGACAAAGAATATTGCGGACAAATAGGGACCAAAACGACTCACGAGAAAGACAGCATATTGCGGACTTTAGGGGCCGAAGGCATGTCCATAAACAGAGAATTTGAGAAGAAGGAAATGCGCCTTCTAGCTTCTAGATTCGAAGGCACGTCCATAGCAGATTCCTTCACCGTCAGCAACAAATACAACCTCTTGATCTGTGTATAAAGAAAATATTTGAACAGTTAAACGAAGGGGTAGATGTCAAAAAGTTTTAGTTGTTGTGACATTTCGATTTTCGATTTTCGATTTTTTAATTACCTTCTCTTTCCAAGCTTCCGATCCGGGAGTTGGAAATTTAATGGCTCCAGCTGATGCAAACAACTGATACTGTTGATCAAGAGGGGTCATTCCTTCATGCCCCAGTCCACCCGGGATAGAATCTAATAAGCTATTCACAGAAAATTACAGTCAAATAAGAACACTCTAATATGTGATCATAATTAGCAAAATAAATAAATAAATAAATTTACTTGGATATGTGATCTTCCATCATAATATCTCGGGTCACGACTTCAAGCATATCTTGGAAAAGAATAACAACTTGATCCCTATCCTCTTGCTTATTGTCTAGCTGCAAAGTGGGACAATTCGACTAAGTTTACACATCACCAAATCAACAGTAATAAGAACCTATAATATTTAAAGGAAAATGAAATTTTAGTACAGAAAAATACTAACCAAGTACTTGACGAGCCTAACAAAGAGATCATAAAGATTTGGAAGAGCACTCAGCTTGTACTCGATTAATAGATTATCCTCCTCTATATGCTTGTCAACTTCGGAAAATATGTATTCGATAACCCTGAAACACGAGACGATTTAAGGAAACGAAGAAAATGTTGCTGATGTCAAATATCAAGGAGTGACTTGTGTTGCTTACTCTTTCTCTCTGCTGCCACGAACTAGCAATTTGACGATGTTTCGGAACGAAGCGTAGCACTCGCAGACAGCAGAATACATATAATCATCGGATTTGATCCGGTTTTTCAGCTCACTGTCTTTGCCATTACTGTCTTTAGCCATATCCACTGCAATTGGGATCTGTTTGATGAAATGAAATTAGCCAAAGAAAAGTTGTAATCCAATGTCAAGGTCCAATCATTTCTACCAGATTAACAAAATTAAATAATATTTAAAAGGAAAACAGGCGGTAAAAACCAAACCTTGCTGGCAAGAAGAAACGGAGGCCACTGTATTATCTCCAAATCACGATCGGCCCAATATGGAACTAAGAGCAGATCCATTTCCCTAAAAATAGAAGCAAGTTGAGCATTTAAACAGAAGATGCATATATATGTCTCATTTCTATTTTGTTTCCGCTAATTAAATGAGAAAGAAAAAAGGGACAAAGAAATGACTGATCACCTGTTACTTATAAGATCCTCTTCTCTGAAACTTGTAATAATTTTGTTCCACAACTGAGCAAACCTTGCAGCTTCTTTCTCTTTACTGGCTGGGATCTGTGACAATGATAATTCAAATCAACTAAGAGTTAATTTTAGTTATGATCATGCTTTAGTCAATTATCTGTACATATTATGAACTGCAAAGAAACGGAATGAAAAATATGTTACCACTTCAAACTTGCGGGCAAATGTAGCCTTCAGCCCTTTCTTTTTCACCAACTCATTTTTCTCCTCTGGCATTAAGCATGCATTAAAAGCACCAGGTAGTGATTGAAATCGGGATCTAAGCATTCCCAAAGTTCGAATCTTCAAAAATAAACGACAACAAAGGTAAACACCCAACATATAAAAGTATGTTACGATAGTTAGAATCACAGTCGATTTCAAAAAAAAAAAAAACAGAATCAGCTACCTCTCCAAGACGACGAAATGCACCATATATGCCTCCAAAAAGAGTAGAGAATATAGCATACCAGATCTGTGCATCCATGAAGTAGACCTAAAAGGAAAGTTACATGAATTATTGTCTAAGGAAAAGAATTAAAGAGGAATCAATAGCTGAAAATAAAAGAATAATCCATACAAGAATAACTGGTGCCCAGATAGTGATCACAACTCCAATATTGTTCTTTGCTGCAAAAACAATAATGTGGAAACTCAATAAATACAAGCCAAGTTAGTGACAATTTTTTTTTTTTATGTCCAAGTGCTTCTCTGTGTGTGCGTGTATACATTACCATCGGGGAAAAACTCGTGCCACTGATAGTTTGATACATGAGCACTCATGATGGTTTTAGTTGGACCAACCAAAGGCTTTATCTGTTATGGAAAAATTTGGGCAGTAAAATGAATATACATAATATTAAACATTAAAAAAGCAAAAATACAAATACATGCAAAAACATCGGAAAAAAAATCAAGAAAATAGGAAAGGTAGGCACCTCGACATAGAAGCTGAAAGCCAACTTTGTAATCAAAAGGAGCGCCCAGAATACCGTATACCTGATAATTTCAAAGGAATTTATATATCACATATGATGAAGTTTACACTTTGCAGAGACATAGGTTTTGTATTGATTTCTTACTTGAAGAGAGAAAATGTACTTTCATGCATTCCCCTTCCAACATAAAGCCGAGGCTGCAATACATACATAAACAGAAACACGGCATTACTCTCTTTTATTTTATCGATTAGAACATATTCGAATCATACAAATTCAAATACATACATACCTGAGACCACCACATCAATAGCATCACAATTTTATAGTTGGAACTCTCAAGGAACCGACGAACAAAGGGGAAAAGGAACAAAACGCCAGCAAGCAAATTCGGTGATAAATAGATAACGACAGTGAATATGAATAGTGACGGAAAATTTGAGTTATTCCCAACCCAGTGTTTGATAATTTGAGCAATGCCAGGTGGATTCTTCCATGAATAAGCATACGTAATAGGGAGAATAATCACCCAAGCAGCGGCAGAGACAACTTTTAGAATGTATCGTAATTTGACATGGAAGGACATGCTCTTTCTAGCTTGCCAACTCAGAATCACATCAAGAACAGCTGCATAAAAGTTTTTTTTTTTTTCACAATAAAAGTTTAATTGAATATACGAGGAAAAAGAAAACACAATAGTTATAATATCTAATACTTGCATACCTTGTCCAAGTTTCAAAACTGAAGCAGTTATAAAGATGCTCAGTACTTTCTTGAAAACACCAGAATCGAAAATCGAACTTGGCTGTCCCGAGCCATTCCAGGCAATAATGATCATAGCCTTCATGCATGAATAAGTTGATTAGACGTTAACGTTAAATAATATATGGACAATGGCTGTAATAACGTACAGAAGAACACACCTGTAAGCATAATATGAAGAAACTCCACATTCTGTCAAAGCTTCTAAAGATATGCCAATACGAACGGATCTCGACAAAATTTACTTTCCCCACCCACCGATCTTTTGTAGACCTTGTCTCCTAAATTTCAGAAAAATCATGTTTACTCAAATTAGATGACAATTTATATTTGAGGATGTGCATAGAAAGAAAGAAATATACACGTATTTCCATCAATCAATATAGCAATGAAAGTCAGAAAATGGCATAGCTGAATTTATAATTTCTGCAAGTGCCTGACAAGCTTTTAATTATCGGGCGCCGATTGTTTTAAGTTTTAACATTGTCAATTTCAAAACTTGGATAAAAATTTTGTTTAAGCTGAAAATCCAATGTCATGCTTACTCCATTTTTTTCACTTTGAAGCTGATCCACAGTCTTGCAGAAAAAATCAGCATCAGAACGCATGGGCCATCCCAGACGAAAACAATCTACAGACCTGCAATTTTCATTAAAAAAATTTATTAATAATAATAAGGAAAAATTAATGGCAATTGCATATTTATAGAAATGAGAGATATCATTTTACCAAAAGTACTCATTCAAATCGTCATAATTTCTCCACTGGGAGTGTTTTGATTTTCCTTTTTTGCTCCTTGCAGCTTCCTGAATTGAAAAAGTTTTTACTGGAGTTAAATCAAAGCACAGGCAAATTAACTTTTTTTTAACATAATTAAATAAAATGGAATATATACATATAATGTAGGGTATACCCGAGCAACCACTTCATAAATTGGGGTGATAACTTTTCTTAGGAATGCCTCTTCTTCTCCTCCATAAGCTGGCTTGACATTTTCGCCAGTCATCGGACTAACATTTCCAGCAAGCATACCATAAAGTTCAAAAGCCATCTGACGGATAAAAACAACGAATCATTTTCTGACACGTAGCATTTCGTATTGTAACATAAGATGCAATAACAAATTAAGTCTAACATAATTAATTTGCTTACATGATGATAAATGTAGCAGAGGCACTCTGGCATAAATCGTAAATTAGCAGCTTCTCCCCAAATAAGAAGATAAAGCCCCATATATAACAATTTACGCTGCTGCACTTCCTGTTGTATAGTAGGTAACCTGCCATTGAATAAAATTATAATGTAGAATTATTGTCATGGTTGAGTCAATATTAGTATACTTTCTTAAAGTCGATAATAAAATTGAAAAAACTCCTTGTCCCGTTCCAATGACAAACATATATAGATATCTGAAGTACTAAACTGTACTTTGATGACGTGAAAATTAAAAAAGAATAATCAAGCCTTCACAAGTTCAGGATTATAAAATTTAGATATGAAGTAGGAAATTGTTATCTCAACAATAATTTTAGAATAAGGCAATTACCACAGGCTGCTCTTCCGATCCAAATACTTGCACCATTTCCTGTAATTCTTGAAAAGCTTCTTCATCACTTCATCTAGAGCACGTTCATCCAACTGATAAAAACATATGAATTGGTGTCAGAGGTAACTTTCCACAAAAACATGAGACGAAAAATAACCGACCCTTCCAAAAAAAGAAAAAGAAACAGGAAACTAATTGGTTAGTATACTGTATATATATGTGTGTGTGTGTGTGTGTGTGTGTGAAGAAGTTTGCAGAAGACAAACCTTGGGTTGTTGATCTGGCTTTGGGAACTGTCGTATGTGTACATTTGCAAGTAACAAAATCAAATGCTCCCTTTGATTTGCCACACTATCTTTCTGCAAATTAGTCAACAGCAAAAAGATGATTTGATTGAACTAGACATTCACTCTATTATCATCCCGACTTCTAATTTAATACGTAATATTTCTAAAAGTGAAAAATGAATTTTATCATTCAAAAATGGAAAAACACGGAAACCAAGCTAAACTATTTCACCTGAAAACCAAACATAGACTGAAGCCAGTCAAGGATATCTTCATCCTTTTTCTTCTTATAGTCCTTAGGCCAAGGAAGACCTCTCGTATTCCGAAGCGCATGTACGGCAGCTTGAATCTGAAAATCAATACAAGTAAGATTTTCAAAAGGAAAAAGAAACATAATAGGAATAAAAATTAAATGAGACAAATTGATTTCATAAATACCTCTGGATATTTCATTATTGCCTGATTTGCACTATCAGGATCAAGAGGTAGAATATTATACGGGACATAGATTTCTGTCTTCTCCGCAACTTTATCATGAGTTTCCAATACCTGTAAATTCATTGAATAGCAAACAATGAATATTACTTCTTATTGTCGTTCAACAAAACTATAATATTTTGCTGGAGAAAATAACATTAAAATAAGAGGGAAATTACCTCACGATCAACTTCCACAGATTGCGTCTGGTTAACTGCTTTCAAAACCTCAAAGAGCACATTAGCTGTTTGATATGCTTTTGTCAGCTGTGCGCTGAAATTTTCAGACAAACTTCAGAATTCCCCACTAACAAAACATCATGTAATATAATCTGCACCTTTCGTAAAAAGAATGAATCACTAATGAAAGCTCACCGATCAGCTTTGTCAGCGGCATTTTGCAAAGCTTGGATGTACTTTTTGTAGTAATGCTGATAAAAGCTCTGCATTTCACGTGCATCGCTTTTTTTAACTCTTCCCATTAAGGTAGGATCGTTTTCCTGAAAGCATCATCATCCTCGTATAAATTAAAATGGTAAGAAACATTTTTATGTTTGAGAGTCAATTTAACTCGTGTGAAACGTTGTCGTCACAAGTAATATCGTTCCTAGTATGTAACTTGATGGATACTTATTAGAATGCAACTTGAAGAAGTTGTCGTACTTACCCTTTCAAGACGTTGCAAAAGAGCTGTTTTAAATTGACGAACACCACGTCCACTCGAAGTCGGATCCAACCTATGAGCCTTCTCAAACGCATAAAATCGACCTGCATAATTTAACCATCGTGATTAAGAATCCTCCAAGCCAGAAATAAATATGTCATCAAACATTAACTATGAATTTCATAAACATACCATGCAATAGTTTAACTATGTAATCTTATCAAACAGAGTACGTGGAGAGTATAAACATAGAAACTACATAATCACTCGTACAATTTTATTTAAGATGTCTATAATTGGATACATACTAGTCCATCTTTTATATCGTATCTTTACAAAAATACGAAATTGTTCGAATCTTACAGAGGTAGGCCACTCGGGGATTGCTAGGCTCGACTTCATTGGCAACACGAAGAATGGGGGCGATTTCCACCAAAGACGAAGGCACCACTTCACTGTCAAATACCGACTCACCAAGATTCCCCACTGTCTGAGTGCGCGGAATCCTACGTGGCAGCGGTTGATTCTGTTGCGATGGTCCTCCTCTCGATGACATTTTTTTTATTATTATTTATCCTCCTTCCTCACCCAGTGCAAACAAACAGATACCTCGATCTCTAGAAAGAAACAAAAACAACAATTACACCATTATTATGCGCAGTTCACTGAAAATGAGCAACAATGCAGCTCATTTTCACCTTTTACAAAGAAAAATGGAACTATAGTATAAAATCGCTAGTTTTTAATTAAACTCGAACAGGCAGAATCCAATACAATGGATTACAAATTTACGATCAAATACGGATATCATGCATTAGCATTTAATGGTTATAACGAACAGTATTGGAGCAGGGATTTTGTCTCCGAGGGGGGCAACACTCGAAAAATAGCATAAGATTTAATGGTTACACTAGATAACTGAGAAACAATGGGGGGCCATGGCCCCCCATTGTCTTATGCCAGCTGACTTGGTTTTTTTCCCCTAGAGGACTCACTCCAATACCAAAATCCTAGAAATCACATCTTTTTATTAAGCCATCCAAAACCCAAACAAAAATTAAGGCAACAAATGGAAGAAAAAGTGCAGTGTGTATATATATATTAGAGAATTACCAGTGCATAGAAAATGAATATTTCATCGAAGCAACACACTTACACACACCTGTCGCTGACGGAATTTTTAAAAAAAAAAAGAAAAAAAAAGTATCAATAATGACGTTGAACGCAAAATTTAAAAAAAAAAATTTAAAAATCAACACCATTGAAGAGAAAGATCAATAGAACAGGGGATTAATCGGCAATGACAGCTGATACATAGATACAAAACACACAAAGAGAAAAACGGAAAACAAAGCACAACAGCGCATACAGAAAAAAAAAAGGAAATTAAAAAAGGTAAAATCAAAAATACTTTTTTTTGCTTCTCTCTGCAGAAACTTTTTTGAGTTGAAGAACGTTCTGCAAAAAAAGGGCGGCCGCTAAAAGATTCCAATGTAAAAACTAAAAACCCTTTTAGAGAGAGAAAATGGGGGAAGAGAGAGAGAGAGGGGAAAAGCAGTGAGGGTGGTGGTGCTGTGGTTTTAAGCTATTAAGCAAAGAAAGGAAGAAAGAGAAGAGGGAATATATTACAATATGAATGACACTTTGTTGTTTAAATTCTACGTGTATTTATTTCTTTGTTAGTCTTTTATGTTTAAAAATTTATTATTATATTTTATTATTTGACTAAAAAATAAATCAATTAAAATATTGTTTTTTTTTTACCTTAAAAAAGGGAATATTTCTTTTTGGATTTATGTGACAGTGATGTGGCAGTGTGGGGAACAATTGCAGTGTCGAGTGCCGTGCTACAGATATGCCCGTGTTTTTATTTTGAATTACGAAGCTGCCACTATGTTTTTTTTTCTTTTTCAAATATTTTCCAAATTAAGAAATTAGGGTCGATGTCAAATTACGAAAAAACCCCTTATGTTTGGGTAATTACAACCACGCATCAACTATGAATCTTCTATTCATCCTTATGGTGTCAAATTTAACAAAATCTTCTATATTTCGTGAAATGTTCTATAGTTTATAATGATGTACTCGTTTTGAGCAAAAATGCAGTTTTTGATACACCACAATTATTTTGGAGCTCGATTGAGGTAAAACGGGTACAAATTGAAAATTATTTCACATAATCTAGAATATTCCACAAATTTTGACACCACAAAATGAACATTTGTGAAGCTTTATAATTAAAGAAGTTATTTGTAATTATCTAAATATGAAGGAGTTTTTTGTAATTTAATTTTACGTCATAGAGTGGCTGTAATTTACTCAAAATAAAAATTCATTGAGTTTTTTTATTTAACAATGCGTGAACAAATAGAATTGCGATATAGATATGTAGTTTATAGAATGTTAATAATTCATAAAATTTTAATTGTGTTTAAAAAGATGCCACTAATTAAATTTCAAGAATAAGATTACCGCTATTTAAAATATAATTACATTTTGTCGATCCTCTCTTTCTCATTTATAACATAATTTGAATTTTAAAAAGAAATAGCATTTGGGTTGTGTATATTTAAATTCCTCAAAAAATAAACTCTTTCAGCATTTTCCATTAGATTTTTTTCAAATCCATTGAAAAATAATTTTTTCATAGCCAAAATCAATAAATTAAAAGCTTCATTTATCTAATTTTATTAATTCTTCAATGGTCGACAAAAAAAAATCGAGTTTTTGTAATTAATTCAAAATGGTTACGAAAAATGTAGTTGTGTCGTTTTCTCCTAAGAATCGTTGGATCATTGCAACTATGGGTGTGAACGAGCCGATCTCGCCTCATTTGATAGGCTCGAGCTCGAGTCTATTTTGTCGAGCTCGTCAAGTTCATTCTTTTTTTGCTCAAGCTCGATCTCGTGCCATTTTGTCGAGTTCGAGCCCAAGTTCATTTTTTTTATATTTTTGAATTATTAAAAATTATTTAAAAAATTACAAAAGAAACAATAAACTATATATATATATATATAATAAAAATATTATTATGAACAATAAAGACTGGCTCGAGCTCGAAAAACTCGAGTCCGAGTTCGAGTTTTTTTCGAGCCGGCTCATCGAGCTCACGAGTCGGCTCGGCTCGTTTACCACCCCTTATTGCAACACAATTGACATGACAAATCATTTTCTTGACATTCATAATTATTATTAGTTCTTAAATATTTATTTTCATATAAATAAATAAAAATATTACAAATATTCATTTTAATGGGATTTTACATTTCATTTAAGTATATGATCAGTTTCCAAAGTGTATGCTAGAAAAATAGAAAAAAGGTTAAAAACTGAATGGCATTTTAGTAAAAAGCTCCAAAACAGAGGCATTTTGATTTTACAACCAACTCAAAAATGTTGATTCTTTACTATCCTACGTGGATAGAAAGGTCAGCATAAAAAATTATCTCTATCTTCTAATCCTTTATTTAAACATTATTTTATTCTTTTATTCTCGGGACCCATTTCCTTTTACATATAGCTAATGTAAATTCCACTTTTATCCCTAAATAAATATATGTTTATTAAACTTTCAAAAAAATATGATTTGATCTTACTGTAGAAAATGTATCTAATAAAAAAAACACACACACATCTCGTTAAAACAATTTGTTTTCAACGTGTTAAGATATAATTCGACTACTACAGTTTCTCATGTTTCGTCTCAAAATATAAATAAATATTATTTTTACTCATAATTTTCCTATCGAAATAAAAATAAGTTCTGAAATTTTACATTAATTGCCATATCTAATAATTTATAATAATTTACTATCCACGTAGGATAGTAAAGAATCTACCTTTTTTATTTTTCATTTTAAAAAAAATCGAGGGTGTGCATGCATCTCATATTCTACGTTTATTTTCAGGTGGATTTCTCACTGCAACTTGGGGAAGGTGGTAATGGAAAGGTGGTGGAGTACTTGAATAGTTCATCAACTTATAATTTATTACAATATTATAATTATTTGCGACGATTACGCAAATTATAGTCGCATATGTGCGACAAAAATATTTTCTTCGCCAAAAAAAAAAAATCGCCTGAAATGAAATTTGGCTATATATATATATATATATATTAAGGGGGAACCTTTTTTTATATGAAATGAGCAACAAAAGATAATTTTGTCGAAAATTGGTTTTAAAAACTTAATCAATTGTGCGATCAACAATTCGACTTGATGAAAAAATATTTTTTTTCTTCCATTTTGACCATACCGTGTTTGATCACTTATTTTTATCGCCCGCATCTCTCAATTTTTTTATTAATATATTTATTTTTATTTCCTTTGGAACCGAATAACGATAAAAATTACGATAACTTGAACTAATGTTTGGGGATCATACGACATAATTGAAATATTAATTATCTTCATTAAATCTAATAATTTAAGTAACCACATGAGAATAAAAGGAAAAAAAAATGTTATATATATAGTTTTATCAATTTACAAAGATAAAGAGTTAGTAAGTAAAACATCAAAGTTATAGGTGGTAGGTGTTTCTAAAATTTAAATTAAATATTGCATGATCATTTTTGGAATATAATTAAAAAAATAAAAAAAATGTTGAACATGAGAACAAATAAATTCAAATATTAGCGCCAAAAGTATGAAAAAAATGCTGTAATTTATCAGCACTCATTAAATGTAAGGCGATCCAGCAGAATTTACTAACAATGAAATGCTTGCAAAGGAAAATAACTAATTAAATCACAGCTAAGATTGAATAATAATAATAGAAAGTGAACTGTCACACCACAACAATTGACTATGTATTAATTTTTATTAGTTCTATATAAATCGATCTTAATTTTGTAGCCGTTATCGCAATTGAAGATCTTCGATCGACCCACATAGGTTTTTCTACTTTTTCAAATGCTTTTACATAATTATAATATTTATACATTTTTTTCAACTCGTTTTCTGGTATTGAGGGTATGTTTACATCTTTCTATATATGTCTTGTTTGCTTATATAAGTTGACTGAAAATCTTGTCGTCTTTCGTGTTTTCGTAGATTGTTTTTGTCACTCGTTTTTTTTTTAAATTAGTGAATTTTTGTTTCGTGTAACTACATACAAATTTTTTTTTTCCGACAAGAGTAAATTTTTATACATATTTGCTATGTTCTATCGTCGCTTTTTTGTTGTTGTCTTTCATATATCGTCATATATATTTATGATATTCGATAAATTAAAGATTCGTATTTCCTTTTTACGTTTTAGGTGACGAGCAATTACTTGAATGGAGAATCGCAAAGGAAAATCTCAAATGTACCCGTTGATCTCAACCAACGATCAAGTAATCGAACTCGATCTTACGCTGAAGTTGGGACTATCGATTAATGACACACAAGACGTCGAAGAAAACAAAGATGTATACTAATAAATTATACCTTAATTGTATATTTTTGCATTTAAATAATAAACAATTATACTAATATTGCATTATTGCATGTATTGTATATATTGCTATATTGCATGTAAAATATATTGTACATTTAATTTTCAGGTGAATTTCTCACTGCAACTTGGACAAGGTGGGAATGGAAAGGTGGTGGAGTTGAATAGTTCATCAGCTGGTAATTATTACAATATTATCGGAAACGAAAGTGTCGGCACAAACTATAATTTGTTCTACCAAGGTTGTTCGTCTCGTAACAACCCTAAAACGCCCTCTCGTAAAAGGGTTAATAACAATGGAGAAAATGGTGCTTCTGCAAAAATTTGCAATGTGTGTGGATCTGATAGCACTCCTCTTTGGAGAAAAGGTCCCGACGGTCCACAAGTAAGTCCGTTTTTCAAGTTTCGAGTGCTGCTTGTAACTTATTTCGCAAGTAATTATTATCCTATTAATCACAACATAATTATTTCAATTTGCTGCAGCTATAATTAAACAGTGTAAATTCATTTTTTCGCAGACTTTGTGCAATGCTTGTGGGCTGCGACATTTACGAAGTTTGAAAAAGAAGTCGAGTACTTAGAGAAATGGGGATTCTCGAGTTGTTTTCTATGTTTATGTTTTCTTTTTGAATTATGTATGATTATGAATGTGTGCGCCCTAGCTCTTGACTCTGGTGTTATGGTTTTATATCAGAAAGTGTAAAACTCATTTTCTCAATTTGAAAGTTTCAATTTCAGCCCCAAAATAGTTTTTTTTTTCCATGTTTCCATCACTACAACACAGTGGAAAAAGTGGCAAAATTTCAAATTCTACACCAATTCGAAAATTAAATAAACTGCAATTGATCGAACAAATCACTAAATAACTCGGAACATAAAAAAAAATGTCATCTATCTGTTTCCACATAAGAGTAGAAAAGCCGAAAAACAACTACAAAAGAAGCCACAACAACCTCACGATACGAACAAAGTTCATAACAATAACGAAGTAGCAAAGAAACAAAAAAAAAAAAAAAAAAAAAAAAAAAATCAAACCCCGGATTTGCGCAACTCTTCCTCTCCATGAGCGAAGTGGCACCTGTCTCCAAAAGTGCACGATCCTCTCGTAAACTTCTCGCACAGTTTAGTTTTGAAGTTGTTGCTCGAAGGAGCAGAATTATGTCCCGACATACCATGATGACTCCTCGAAGGTGGGCCCGACCCAGCCCTGATATTCACTATGAGTTCTCGAACCATTTGACTAGCCTGCTTGATCTGGTCAAACGACCCCTCCAGTTCAACGTTCCTCAAGTTAGCATCCGATTCATGATCTCTCACCGAAAGCTTGGCTCCAGTCATTCTGCATATCTGCTTCGAGTTGACCCCACCTTTGCCAATAACAGCTCCTGCAACCGAAGCATCGATGCTGATCTTAGCAGTGGCAGAGGCTCCAAAGCTAGCCGCCGCCATACCGTGGTTCGGTGGGGCTGCCTCCATATAATCGCCGCCCCCACCGCCGTATCTTCCGGGCATCTGTCCCGTATTAGAGCGAGGGTCATCATGCGGTGGAAGTGTTTGCTTCCCGAGCTCCCATTCGCCGTGGGCGAAATTACATGTGTCGCCGTATTTGCAGCCTTCGGCTGTTTTGAATTTGTTGCACAGTCGGGTTTTGACAGCTAGCGGGCGGTTTTCTTGGAAAGATGGGGGGTGTTGAGGTGGTGGGGCTACTGGATTTCTGTTGGCGGCTGGCAGGGCTGGGTTGTTGCCGAGAATCTGGGTGACCGCCTTTATGCCGCCAGGTACATAGTGCAAGAAGTGGCACCCCTCTCCAAATGGACACCCGGATGTACTGCATGCATATCGAATGAAATTAACGAACGAGCACACGTATAAGACAGCAAATCGTAAACAAAATCAAAATCAAGCAAGATGCTAAGAGAGTGATTTGTCACAAAACAGGAGCTTCGGATTTGAGGGACAATCTATTCAATAATAATCTTAACAAGAATGTATTATTAGGCAAACCAGTAAAACGAGAAGTTGTTCATTCAAGAAAAAATAGGTTTCTTTTACAGGAAGTTATTGTGACAGTCCCTTTGTTGACACCAACGTAGCTGCACAATTCAAGTTATGCGCATATTACGAATAACATCAGAGAATTCTGTTCTAATATGTGAAAGCCAAACCATTTCCTCTCCCTACATACTTCACTTTCAGAGATTCTTTTACAACATAGCAGGGTTATTACATCTTATTAATTCTTACAACGAGGAAACGTAATACATAATGAGCTTACTTAGTATCTATACAAGATTCTAAAGTGACTTGCACAATAAAATCCAAGGCACAGTTTGCAGTTCGTCGGATTGCGACCGAGGCACCGGAACAGTGACCATGATCGTAAAAACAATATAACATTCACACAAAATGCAATATTTGCTATAGAGAACACTAATAAAGATGGCATAGCATCATATGTATTTAAACTAAACTACGAGATATAATCAGCTATATTATAGCATACACGGAGATTCGAACCCGAGAGAACAAATAATACTCTGCACCCCTTCGCATAATCAAACAAAAGTATACCAACACAAAAGGCTCCTAAAATATGATTACGCAAGAACTGCATCGCTGAAAGGTATTTTCTGACCGGAAAAATACCACCCACAAAAGTTAAACACGGTTGCAGGGCAAAATTGATCCAACAGATTTCCATTAACTTCTTGATTTAATCATTAAGAAATACGGCACAAATTTTTTTGCACCATAATACCAGTGAAAACAAGTATATAGAGTATTATCCTTATTGATTTTTTTATGGCTTTCACTAACGAGCCTGTGGATTCAGTAGGTTGATACATCACTCCAAGCAAGTGTTAATTCAAATAAACTGCATTCTTCAATTTTCCATTCAATTGCCATCATAATCAATTAATGAAGAGTATAACCTGTTTCACAACTTCAGATACCGAATTCATTAGTCCAGATAATGCTATCGTTCGTTAAGGTAATATGAAAACGAAATTTGATGCCAATTTACACCCATTACCAGTATATGAAAAAATTGTACTTGCAATATTGATTTTAGATTAGGTTTAAGATAACAACCTGAAAAACTTTGTGCATGGCTTCAATTTGCTTCCTATACCAGTTGTAAAGGACTCCATTTCTGTTACAGAAAATTAATAATCTTCTTCAGCTAAAGTTTATGTAAGTTAATTAATCTCCAAACTTGAAAAGTATATTGAATCCGCACGTTTCTCACTATTGACAATAACCGTTGTATTTCCAAGAACAGACCCGGAACAAATTAAGCTAGAGTTCTCTAAGGACTTAATCGAGCCAGCTCAAAATGAATAATTCACGATAATAGCCTTTTTCTTGAAATAACCAAACGAACTCCGAAAAACAACTAAACGCACAGACTCAGAAGCACAAAAGAGCACACACCTCTACAGCTTCGACCCAAATTACGACCAAGTTGGTAAATTTACAGGTTCACTTAATAATTTAAAATTTCACATTCCGAACTACCGAGTATTTCATTCCATTACGAGATCTGAGTAGTACAAATACAAGTCTAGTACAGTTACGCAAGCATAAAAATCACTGGAAAAAGTACAAAGGGCAAAATGCAGCAAAAAACCCAAACCACAGTAAGCTCAACTTAGACAGAGAATAAAGCACTACTCCATAAATACAACTTCAAAACAACTCGGAATCGATGGCAATGGCAAAATAATATGCGGGGAAGAAGAAAATACTAAAAAAAAAATCAAAAATTCGGCCAACATAAAGCATGTATATAACGAAAATTCAACCAATAAAATAATGACCTTGCTTGGATTTCTTGAATCCGCCATTGCCGTTGAAGCCGCCCTCTGGTACTCCTCTTTTCTTCGCGCCTCCAAACTCCATTACCGAAATTCTCTACTTCAAAATCAAAAATAGAAAAAACTACAGAAGCTTCTAGAGAGATAGAGCAAAAAGGTTTTGAATCTAATTGAGAAAAAGGAAGCTTCGACACAGAAATAGAAACTTGAAAAAAAAAAAAATCAAATGCGAGATTAAGGATAAAACCCTAGAAACTGAAAAAACATAAAGAAATACGAAAGAGGGGTTTAAATGAGGTTCATAAAAATTTCACGTGCGCTGCACACTTATATATAGATTGCTGTCAGTCGCCACGTTTTACCGCCTTATGTTTTTTCAGCTGGCCGCTTGATCGGGCCTTTGAGTTTTTATTTGGGCTTTTTATTTAGGCTTTTTCCATCTTTAAAGGTAACCCGAAGAAATTCAGTATTTTATATATGGGTAAATTTTAGGGCTCGTTTGACATGATTAAGCGCTGAACGCTGAATACGTGTCGTGTCTGAATGAATAAGAGTTGTGTCTGAATGCTGAATGCTGAGCAATTAAGTCCATTTGATAATTGAATGTCTGAATGTTGTTATCTTCCCATTATACCCTTATTTAATGCTACATTTTATTTGTTAATTAATTTTGATTAACAAATATAAATAAACAAAAAAAATTAAGTATGATCTACATAATTAATAAAATGTAAAATTTAAAATATTTAACATAGATAAAATATAAAATTCAAACAAATAATAAATATAACATTCACAAATAAAAATAGTAAAATATGGAAATACATTAAAGTCGCTAAAATTGATATAAAAGATTAAAGTCGCTAAAATCAACGTCAAATATTTAATAAATTCCAATTGGTCACTCACTCAATGCATCAACCGAGTTGCTATCTCATCGCGAACATTAGCCATATACTGCATGTCTTCGACCCCCCACCATGGTCCGATAGTTGTACCATCATTCTCGTGGTCTTGTCCATCCTCATTCGCACCATCAAAAGGCATATTGGGTTGATCAAGCTCCTCAAAAAATTTATCACTAATACGCTCTTTTCTTATAAAATTATGCACCGCAAAACAAGCAATCCCTACATTTCTTTGCACATCTAATAAAAAGGGGCCATCTTTTCTAAAATCGGAAATCTATTTTTCAGAACTCCATAAGTTCGTTCAATGACATTCCTTAGTTGAGCATGAGCATGGTTAAATTTTTCTTCTTTAGTCAAAGCACGTCTACGACGATAGTCTCCTAACCAATATCGTTCAATGTATGTATGCTGCATCACAAAGATAATATTTACCTGTAATAATAATAAAAATAATTTAAGATCAGATTTAACGTATAAATGATTAGAATTTATAGTTTGAATTTAAAGTAATACCAGCGGGAGGCCATGGAAAACCGTTTGTCGGATCAGCAACTGTATCTGTTAAACTCTTGAATCATGTGTTACCCCTTCCCAGCCTGCCCAAACGAACGTAAACATCATATTAAAGTCGCATATTCCTAAAACATTTTGATAGCACTGACCCTTTCCTCTACCCCTGTACATAGTTTGCTTTGAAACTGGAACAACGACATGTACTAGTGTTCCATCAAGTGCACCAACTGCTCCCTACATTTAGATGAAAAATAAGTTACAGAAACAAGAAGAGAATTAAACAATGATAGAAAAAATGGAACAATACACAATATCTACCTTAAAAATTCGGTGTAACCTCCTAAAACTTGTCGAAATATTTGAATTCGGGTCAAATGTTGTTGGTACTATTATGTCCATTGCCATATTCATCATTGCACTCAACACTTCATGAAAATACACATGAACTGTTTGTGAAGAGTGTTGAAATCTACGCTTCACTACGCGAAGACGCTTATTATGCCCAATAATTTGCAAGAACATTGCCATTTTTTCTTCTACTGATACATGTCTACTATCATGCAGCCACCCTAGTTGTCTAAAATGCATGCTCAAACGAATATATGCAACACGAGACATGCGCATTAATTCAATACATTGTGTGTCTGATCCAGACAAGAGCTCCAATGTGTAAGCATGTCCCGACAATGCTGAATTGTTATCTCTGTTTCTTGGTACGCGCATCAAATATCTCGGACGAATTTGTGTGTACCAATAGATCATCATCAATATCATAATCTCGTAAATTTCCATATTTGACTTGTTATAAAAAATGATCAATACATTAAATATTTGATAATGTAAACTATCATTAGCAAAATACCGAATCATAAAAGGAACCTAATTCACAAGGTAAATGTAAAACAAGTCTATTATTATAAAAAGTACCAACTAAACAAGTCTTATACTAAAATTGAAACTAATAACATAAAAAGTTTGCAATAATTTACGAAACTTAAAACAAATCCATCGTCTTAAATAAATATTACTAAATTCTCAAAATTTGATACATAAGCCATTGCAAGTTAAAATTAAAAACCCGTATTTTGTCCAATTCTTTTAATCCATGCTTGCAGAACTCCGACATTATCCTTAGGAAGCGTCATCCAAGCTTCTCTATGTCATGCACAACTGCCAAAGATTACAACAGCTGAAACATATAAGATATCTTCTGTATCCCATTCAAGTTCATCCAATCTAGCAATACAATCTGTAACTGAAGGCCCACTATTATTTTTAATCATAAACTTCAAAGCTGCTGACATCTTATTTATTAAATTATTATTACCGAGCGAGGGTTGACTGTTTTTTTTTCTTCTTTTTAGGCTTTTCTCCTTGAGACCGATGGGCGAAATCATTAGTCTGAGTCCCTCTAGCTAGTATCCCTAAAATTTCCATCTTCATCACAATAAGAAATATCTTCTATGTCTCTTTGTTCCACATTCCGGACATTACTCGAAGAAAATGAGGTAACACCAGGATTTTGATCTTGGGAACTAGGTCCCCAAGAATGAACACCAGTAGTAGTGGCACCGTCGAATAGTGCTCTACAAAGGTCAGAATAAGGTAGATGTGCAAGTCTTAAACTCTTTGCCTTAGGATGAGCCTCTATTGAAGTATCAAATTATAATTCTTAATAAAATCTTATAATTACTAATAAAAGTTAGATAAAACAATAAAAACCTAAACAATAAACCTTTATATACTCTGTCCACTATTCCTTTGTCATGTGATAGTGTTGGTGGCAAGATTGTAAATATTGCCTGTTTTCATAGTTAACGGCAACCAAGCTTGATACTTTTGTTTTAATTAGTCATATCGATTCTTCATTTGTCTTTGACAAACCACAAAGTTATGATTTTTCTTCAAAGTGTTCATAATTGTGGTCCAAGATTCTGACTTCAGACTACCTCATTCTCTACCATTTAGAGCAACTTCTTGGATACACGCTTCGAGAAAACATTTATCTACTTTACTGTTGTTCCATCTGACTCTATTATTTTCATCTGATTCTTCCATTCCTATATTCATTAATATTTATTCTTCAAAGTTAACCCTCACGAGTTGTGATTCAAAAAATAGAACCAAATGTCACGATGGTATTGATAATTTACAATTAGTCGAAGCTTCAAGAGTAGTTTTTGTAATGTACGATTTTTTTTTAAATGCTAAATAGATGAATGCTATGTAATGAGATATTGCATGCTTATCGTATCTTTAATTACGTATTTTTATTTATGGATCATTGGACTAAAGAAATATTTCTTTATTCCACTTGAGTTTAGAAAACAAAGTAAAGGGATACAAAAACCAATCAATCTTCATCGGTATGTTATTCCTATTATTTTTTATCATCTTCTCTGTTATTCGATTGATTAACTTATATATTACCACACATAACATCACATCCCTGCTCAATTATATATTGATTTGTGTATAATTATAAAGTTTAACTTAAAAACGGACTGTCCGATTTAAGCAAATAACCGGATGCCATTGATGTGAAGACACGTGTCTTGGAAATCTTAAAACTGAATTGAAAGATGTGAGTTATTACAATACCAAAGCACGTTGTTTTAACTTTTTCCTTGATTTTTTATTCTCACATTTTTTCAATAATAATTAGGGATGTAAATTTTCCGATCTAATTGAATTTAGCACATTTAGAAAATTCTAATAGTTTGAGAAGTGAAAATTTAATTCCACTTCCCCTCGAAAAACAATTAAAAATCGGAATCTAATTTTCAAAAATTGGAACTGTAAAATTCCAAATCAAAATAAATGAATTTCAAAATAGACTTTTCCACAAACACGACAATGCAAGTCTAATGTAAAAGAAATTTAAATCACAAATACCTGTAATAAGTAACCATGTCCAGAACAACTCCAAATATTGAAACTTAAGTATGTAAGAGTGAAATTAAGTACGTTACTTTTCATGTAATAAGTGGACTAATAATCTAATGATATGCCTAATTGGCCCAACCCAATGAGCCTACCAATTATTTATCTACTGGGCCACAAACCCAATATCGAAGACCACTATCACCGAGGCCCAATCACCTTCAAGCAAGGTTTGGGCCCGACAATCTCAACTAAGCTATAAATACACATTTGAACTCATTCCATAAGGTACGTCCTATTAACTGAGCAATACTATTATATGTATTCTCTGGACTATTTCTATGATCAGCACGTCTAACTTGAGCGTCGGAGGGGTTTCCGCCGGATCAACCCCCGGCCTAGTTCACGTGTTCTATGATCGCAGGTACCTCAGGATCATCAAGTTGTCAAGCTACTGATCCGTTTTGCTCTCCCAGTTCGTTTTCTACACTACCCCAGGTGATCTAAGTATTTAGCATCATCATAATCATATTTCACCCACCACAAAAATCAACATTATCAATACAAAAATCTTTGTGTAGGCCTTTCAATTTTCCAATGTTCTTATTTTCGATTCATAACCAAACAAGCAATTCAGTACTCCTAATTGATATACATACACTCATATTACTACTATTCAAATTTGAATGTCGAATTATAAACCCTAACCTTGATTCAGTTTCCGTGCAAACCAACCGTCTAATGCATCAAACACAGAGCTGGAAAAATTAGATTCATAACCTAGCTTTATCCAATAGAAAATAAAAAATTAATAAAATAAATAAATGAAAAAACTTACTCGGGAATTTGAAGAATTGTCTTGCAGAGTTCTTCTATGGGTTTTAATGATGTGTGAGAAGTGGTGATGAAAAGACTCGTAGGAGGAATATATTTTATGATGGTAGGGTTTGGAATTTACAAGGTTATTTATGGGTAAAAGAAATAAAAAAAAATATCAGTAAGAAATAAATCTTTCAGTTAAGAGATTCCCTCCAAACACGCTAAATATCATTATGCTGACCGAATCAGCGGAAATTACTCATTAAGAGGTCAATAAGAGGTAATCAAACGGGCCCTTTGTACCTTGACTCGGGTATATTTTACATCGATTTTATATATGGGTATATTTTACATGGATTTGCCCCGCGTACTTTAAGCTCTGAAATTACAAAAACGACACATCTTCCAGTTTAAATAATTATTAAAAAATAAAATAAACCATAAAAAATATTCAAAACAACGAGAAAACATAGTCCACGACGCCAACCACAATTTATTTTTTATTTTTTTAATGATCAATTAAACTGGGAGCTGAGGGGTGGTTTTTTTTTTTTTTTTGTAATTTTCAGACTTAGATCAAAAGGTGTTAAGGTCAAATGTATGAAAACTAACGGCGGGGGCCTCATTGAGAAAAAAATTGAAGTACAAGGGGCAAATCGATGAAATCGGAAGTATAAGGAGATAAAGTGATATCGAGCCAAAGTAAAGGGGGAAAGTAAAATTTACCCTTTATATATTTATTTACGGGTGCCCATTGGGTTTTTTAACCGACCGAACCGCGCCAGTACGTCCAAATACTTATTCGATAATTTGGTTTGGTATTGGGTTTTGAATTTCCTAAGTTTCTGTAATTTGATCTACCGTATGCTTCTTTAAATCGACCGAACCACGCATAGTAGAAAATTTAACATGTATCGAATGTTGATCCGATAATTCATTTCAGTATTCGGTTTTTTAATTCCGAATTTGGTAACTTTGTTTTATCGAATGCCCAAATTTAATTTTTATATAGTATTTTATATGTTATTAAAAAAAACTCATAATCTATTTATAAAAGCTTTCGTAAACAACACCTATATAGATAGGTATATTGTATAAATATTTACTCTTGCCCAATAATTTGCAATCAAGTTAAATTTGTATATGCATGACAAACTTCACCTAGAAAACATTGAGATTACTAATATAGAGTTTTACTCTTAGTTCTTGATTATATGAGAAAGCCTAATTGGTCAATTGACATTATTAGTCAAATGAAAAAATCCGATGGCAATGTTCGGATACGTTTTGGAAAGTTATTCTTATTTTATTCTCGAAAAATATATTTCGAGAGAATAATATTGAAGAATGAAAGTAACATTTTGTTTATAAGTTGAAATGACACAAAATACACTTTAAATATTTTTACTGCAGCAGCTGCATCATATCTAAAGAAGAGAGAAACTTGAAAAGTTGTTTTCGATTTTTTTTTTTGAAAACATTAATACACACGAAAAAATTAAAGTGAGATAAAAACGTAACCAAAATTTACCGATATTTTTATTGCTAGCAAAATTGAGATAGACATAAAGGCTAAAGCATGAAAAAAGAGAAAAACAAGAAGGAACTAATTACATAAAGTGCCCAAATTTAAACTCTATTCACCACTCGGTCCTCACTCGGCCCAACCACACTTTTATCCCTAACAATTTCACCCACTTCCACTTCTTCCTCCTCCTCCTCCACCTCGACTTCGTAGCTGCCGCCGCCGCTCTCGACGAAACTCACACCCTTGTACCACTTGGCGCAACCCAGGTAGATCATAAAGTCAACGGCGGTCAAAGCAGCGATCAGGAAGTAGAACCTGTCCATGTGGCCGGCGTTCAGATCCTCCGGTATCCACCCCGGCATGTTGTTCCTCGTCGTGATTCCGGTGACCATGTTCATCAGCAAGCTGCTGACGAAGTTCCCGAGGGAGATCGACGCCATGCACAGCGAGCTTCCGAAGCTCTTGATCCCGTCGGGCGCCTGCCCGTTGAAGAACTCCAGCTGCCCGACGTACATGAACACCTCCGACGCGCCGACCAGCACGTACTGCGGGATCTGCCAGAACACGCTGGTGGAGCTCGACCGCTGCCCGGGGACGACCCCCCTCAGCCGCGCGATCTCCGTCATCCCGGCGGCGACCATCGCCATCATTCCGATGATCAGACCGATGCCCATCCGCTGGAGCTCCGTCAGGCCCTTGGGGTTGCCGCTCAGCCTGCCGGCGAGTGGGACCAGGATCTGGCGGTATATTCCGGTGCAGAGGAGGACGCTGCATATGTCGAACACCGACATGCTCGCCGCCGGGAGGTGGAAGTTTCCGATGGCCGTGTCCATCACCTCCCCTTGCTCGACGAACAGGGACGCCATCTGGGTGAACACCACCGAGTATATGATTGTGCAGAGCCAGATCGGCATCATTCGGATTATGCACTTTGCTTCCTCCACCTGAGATACGGTGCACAGCCGCCATGGATTCTTCCGCGCTCCGCCGTCCTTTTCCGTCACTATCGCCGCCTTGTCCAGACACCTACGAAAAGATTTTTTCAGAACAAAAAAAACTATCAGTCAAATTGAAAAGTAATTTATTGCAGTTATACCCCTATTATTATATCAAGTTTGCAAAAAACACCTCATATTATTTTATTGGCAAAAACACCGTTTGTTTGATGCTACACCTGGCGAAATACATTGGGTGATAATTAATTGTTGATCTGCACACACTCACACACACCCATGTGTATGTGTGCTTAATGGGAAGTTATTTCACTATATCAACGGTTAATAATTACCCCGTGTATTTCACCAGGTGTAGTATCTCAAAGACGAACCTGCAATGTTACGGGCAATTTTTGAATCATGGTAGCTTTTTTGTCGATAAAATAAAATTATGAGTTTCTTAACAGTCATTAATTTAGAATATTAATGGCAAAATTGGGAAAATGAGAACAAATGAATAATTGAAACTCTAAAGTGACAAATAATTAGAAACGCGTACTCGAATTCATCGGTATGAAAAATCTTTCGACTCCCTTTGATCGCAGACTCGGTTCCACGAAGCTCATACAACGCATCACCCGGCTTGAGAGCCGCCCCCCTCTTCTTCACCGCCGCCACAAAAACCTGTGCGACTCTCGGAATAGGGTTCCCACACGGCTTAAGGTACCGATACCTCGGCGAACCGAGCAAAAAAGTGACGAGAGCAAGCACCGCAGAGGCCGTAGAAGCCCAAAACCCTAGCGTCCATTTTCCGGTGTCCTCAAAGTAGACCAAAATCGTGTTTGAGAAAAGTGACCCCACGTTGAGCGCGAAGTAGAAGTAGCAGAAGAACGCCCCTTTCGCGTTTTGGTACTTTGGGATTGACTCGTCAAATTGATCGGCTCCGAATGTGGCTATAGTCGGCTGATGGCCACCGTAGCCGAGCGCGACTAGGTAAATTGCCAAATAGAATATTCCCGAGCCGACCGGACTCGGCGGTTGGCATTTTTTTTGGCCGTCGCCACAACCACTAGGCTTGAGCAAGAGTATATAAGACGACAAGGACACAAGCGTCAGTCCCTGAAAAAAAAGACAAAAATGCCCTCATGTGATGTTCCGAAGTGCTAAGAAGTTAATCATGTTATTGAGGGGCATTTTAGTCATTTCATATGACGATTCGGTAATTATTACCGCGACAAAGATGACTTGAAAGATGGCGCAAGTGAGATAACGGCCCCAATAAGAATCGCTAAGGAAAGCTCCGATGAGGGAGCACAAGTACACGGTTCCGGTCCAAATGCTGACATTGTTAGCTGCGGTAGCGTTGTCTTGTCCGAGGACTCGAGTTAAGAACAAAACCAAGTTCACTCCAACGCCAAAGAACGCGAGTGTCGCCAGCCCTTGATTAGCTGCACTACCATAAACCCGATTTTCGGTCGAAAAAATAAAAATAAATCCAAAAAAATAAATAATTTGTAGTGAAAACAATTAACGAAATCGATATTCTTGGAACTTATTTAGTATATACCTAGTAAAATTAACCCGAAACTCCACCCTCCTCTGGCCTTCTTCTTGATGCCCTTTGTAGAACTTTTGTTACGCGCGGTTTCGTCTCTCTGAAAAAAAATCGTAATTACAGCTTATTAATTTTTGCAATAAAATTAAAGCTATTTATCTTAAAGGGAGCAAAAAATTGCGAATACCAACCGTTGGTGAAGCGTCCATGTTTAAGGTGATATTAATCTGCAATGTTAATAACAATACGATTTCGTTAAAGATGAAAATCGAATTATACGAAAGAAAATCGAAATCAAGGAAAAACGCAACATAATGAAGAACGTAGCACGATTAGAGTTTGTAATAAAAAGTCGTCCACGTCTCGAATTAGTTAGGTTTAGTTATCTTTCAGCTTGTAAGTACTATTAGTTAGTTAGCTTTAATTACTAAGTCGGCTGGTTTAATTGTAGTATAAATACATTTGTACTGCACACATTCATCAATTAATATCAAGTACAACATTTTTAGTTCTCTTTCACATTTTTTCTCCGAGCTCAAAGCCTCAAACCACCCTTGTAATGGCAGTTATTAATAGGGTTTGAATTCAATATAGTATGAGGAGAACCTTTTTTGGACAGTATAGTAAATATAGAGATTTAAAAAGAAAAAACCCAATGAACGACAATAAAAAAAAAAAAAAAGGTGTAAATTACGAGAATTCCCCTGAACTGATTACGAGAAACACCCCACCAATCCATAAAGAAAATGTCATGTCTGTAGTGGTAGAAATATTCCCTTAAACAAAAAGATTATGTGAAAAATCACACCAGAAAGGGTCGGGGTAAGATTGAAACAAGCGTTGAGAGGATTTTAGTAATTACGGATAGGTGGGGTAATTTTCGTTATTTAATCTAAGTTTAGGGTCATTTTTGTAATTTACCCAAAAAATTGAATTGCATGCATGAGTCAATTTTACTTTTGGTTTTCTTAGTTTACCAAATAAAATTCAATAGAGTATAGATCATATATATTATATATATTCATTTAAATAAAATAATACATTTTGTGCAAGATCTAATATATAATATTTAGAAGTAACATCAAAATTCCACAATGTACGTCCTTACAAAATTATAATAGGATTAATTAATTAATTAAATAAATAAATAATACCTTTTCCTGAACTTGATGAGAGATTGAAGGAGGAGCGCCGGGATAGTATCCGTCGGTGATTGCCTCTCGATAAACACTCGGATCTCCGGGAAGAACTCAATGCCAGCAAAACCTATTGTCATTTACAGTAAAAAAAAACAGATAAAAACAAAACCTCCAAATTTTACGACCGAGTGAACCAATTTTGTCGAAACAATTTCGGCTTATGAAATTTACTATTATTTAGATCTATTTCTCTTTTGCTTATAAGAAAAAAGAGTGATCGATGAACCCTTGAAGCTTATTGAAGAAGGTGAAGTGAAGCTTATTATTTAGATGTGTATATATATATATGTATGTAAATATGACAATGTGGAAAAGAAAGTGAAAGTATTTCAAGAGTGTTGTGTAATGTAACAAACTCCTGTAATGAAGCTCCTTCTTTTGCTCCACTGTCACCATTTTTCACTTTGATTTTTTCAATACTTTTTATTTGGAAATTGTTTGGTTGCATTTCATTCCCCTCAATTCGGCCACTAATTTTTATTACAAGAAGTTTGCACAATTTTTAGGTAACACCCTGAGGTAAGATTAAATTAACCCTGAGGTAAGATTAAATTAAAAAAAGAAAAAAAAAACCATATTTTTCGGTTAATTACAACAACCTCCTCAACTGTGTATTTTCTTACAAAACCTCCTCCAATTTTTAAAACGATTCATTTTTTTTTATAAATTATTATGTTGGGCAAATTACAGCCAACCCCCTATGTTAAGATCAAATTACAAAAATCACCCTCCTGTTTGAGTAACTCAACTATGTATTATATTACAAAAAAACTCCTCCTCAGGTAAATTTAGGGATGTAAGAAACATAACCGAAATTTTTGTATGCCAATATTTCATATTGTTTACCGAACCAAATATACAATTTGATTTAGTAATAACTGAATTACGTAAATTTTATTGAAAATATTTAAAATGAGAAAGTGGTTGTAATTACCCAAACAATGGGGTTTTTTTTGAAATTTAATCTTACCTCAGAGGTTGACCGTAATTTGCCCTTATTATGTTTAGACCCCTTAATTCTAAAATAACAAATTAAAAGTGGCATCTTTCAACCAATCTAAAATGTTTGTCTGATCAATGCTGTCAAAACAATATCACATATAATACAATTAGACCAGAAATATTACCAAAAATCAGAAATCTTGTAGCATAACTAATCAACCCTAAAGCAAAAAGCTGATTCAAAAAAGCTAAAAGCTATAATTTTGCTTGTAGTATTATCAAGCAATTTCACAAAACTATATATACATGCATGCCATAACTTACAAAAGACCAGCTTTCTTTAATTCTTGCGGGCCCCACAATCACCGTTATCAGTTACGCAAGAATACTGCGTCGTGCGGCCAGAATTTCTCAAGAACTTCTTAACCACAGCTGTAGGTATAAATTCCGGATCACTTAGAAACGCTACGGTCGGGCTAAAACTTTCGACTCCCGTTTCCGGTTTCGCCCTTGCATAATCTGCATTAGTTGATGCATCCCGTTTTGGCATTCTTTCGTCACCCTCGGGCACCATAGTCTTCATCAGCTGCAAATTTCAAGAAACCGCGGTCAAATTACAAAGATACCCTTTTTAGTATGTGCTTAACTCAATTTCAAGAACCAAATTTATACCGCCACAAAACAAAATGACTATTAGCAGCTAAAAATTTAAATATTGATCAAATAAAATACCTTCCAATCATCAAAGTCGAATCGGAAAACGAATTGGTGGGTTTTAGCGACGCCGCTCTTAATTTCTTCTGCACTTGGACCATTAGCTGGGACTGCGATATGAATTAAAAAAAAATGGAATTATAGATAGGAACGATGCCGAAAATGGAAAAGTCGAGAAAAAAATTATTATACCTACGACTTGAGAGCCAGTCTCGTCGACATTTATTATAGCTCTGCCATCTCTTACCAAGAAAGACAGCGCAAATAAGTTCTCAACTGTCTGAGCGAAAGAATTTCGGTTCAACATCAGATTTTCGACTTTGACATTTTTCTCCTTCTTTAGTATCTCAAACATCAAATGCATGTTTGTATCCGTTTCCGCGACCACCTTAGCTTCTTTCTCGATCTGTTTGCCAAAAGAAGGGAGGATCAAAATCGAATCCGTGGATAGAGAAACAAATTACTATAAAAAAAACGGTGAAAATAATACCTCGTTTGGTCGAGCGTTAACTGTTGGTCTCGATCTCTTTGCACGAACCGACGACTTCCGTTGCTTAAGCTCGTTCTTCATAGGTCCAATCCTAGAGGAACAAAAAAAATCAAGAAAATAAGAAACATATTTTCACTATCGAAAAACATACAAAAAAAATACGAAAACACGTACATTGTTGTGCAGCCTGGTCCATTCAGGAATATAGGTGAAACGAGAGAGCCCATAGTTTGCCATGAAATATTCGGTGAATTGTCCGAAGTACCCTTGGTGGGGTTTTTGAAGCCGAAATTCTTGATCAAGGAGGAAACAAACTCGGCCGGAGAAACGCTTCCACTAGTATGTGATTTAACAGAGTCGACTAAAATGTTAGCCAGTCCAAGAAAAGCCTCTGCGTCTGCCACCTGTTCCCTCGGCTTTTGAACTGAAACAATAAACACTATTATGCGTTAATACAGCTAACGTAAAACTGTACAAACTTATGATGTATTGTCTTCGCAGAAATCTTCTACATGTCAATAAGAATATCAAAACAGCTTAATTTGAAAAGACAATTTTGCCTTCATAGGAGTGATGAGCAATGCAATCGGTAACAAAAAGCGAATTTTGGTGCGGTCGTGAAAAAAAAAAATTGTTAAGGTGGCAAAGCGCAAAACGGGCCGAAGTACGGGTGGCAAAATGTTAATTACCCTCGAAAATAAGCCAAATCAAATGCAAATAAAATGCAGTAGCAAGTTTAATAAATCCCCCATTATCATAATGAAAATAAAAGAATTTCCACTCCAACACACACACACACACACACACACACACACACACACACACACAGAAACAGAGTATGGGAGAAGAGTAATAATAATACCATGTTGATGTATGTTTTCTACTTCCTTCATAATGGCCATGAACTTCTGCGAATCGACGTTTGCTATTTCATCTTTTCTCTCTGCATTCAGTAATTTTATAATATATCAAGAAAACAAGTACTCAGCTTTAAACAAACCCACAAAAAAAAATCAATAAATCAATTAAAGAATTCCATTAAGGGTTAAAAAAAAAGAAAATCAAGAAGAAGATATGTAAAATACCATTGATGCGGTGTTCGATTGAACGGTATTTTGAGCGAATGGTTCTACGTTTCGACACGGAATCGGTCTCCTGAGTCAACTCGTCGTCTTCAGAAACCCTGGAATCTCCACCATTCTCTCTCACTCGTTCCCTCTTCAAATTCCTCTCCATCTCTCTCGCACTTCACTCTCTCTGGGTGTGGAGAATAAATTATTTTTCAAGAAAGAAAGTTTTTAATAATTTCAGAGGAGATTTGAAAGGAATTGTGGTTGTTGTTCTTGCATCGAGAAGTGTGTGCGGCAGAAAGATTTTTATGGAATGTTTTAAAGTTTTCCCTCTCTTTTGAAATGTAATAACCGGGAAGCTTGTCTTGGAAGTATCCATGAAATATAATTAGGTATAAATATGGAAAGAGGGAAAAAGTTGTGGGCTTTGTAGTGGACATAATTGCATTTATTTATGGGGCTTCATATATATACGCAAACATATTTATAGGTTATATAGTAATTTCCAAGATAATTTCAAAAGAGTTTTAGGCTATGTTTGACAGAATTAAGCACTGAACACTGAATGCTAAATATATGACTGAATGGTTAAGATCAGTGTTTGAATCTGAATATTGAATAATTAAGTTTGTTTGACAATGAAAATTTATAGTCACTGAATAACATATAATTTTACTATATTGTCCCTCGTAATTATTGAACATATATTTATTCACTAATAGAATCATCACTAATATCTAAAATAAAAAAAATAATTATTATCACCCTTGTAATATTATATATATTTATTTGGATAAAAATAATAATTGTAAATCTAAATCCTATAATTGAAAAATACGAAAATAAAATTTCAATATAATTTACAATTTTCATTAAAACCCCATAATCCCTAAAAAATGAAGAAAGGGAAATAAATTAAATTTCACAATAAAAATTTGAAACATCTGGCACCTAAAAAGTAAAAATTCTCCACCGCTACTTTATCTCTCTTCAGCGCATACTCATTTGTGTATTTAAATGTAACTGGCCGAACACAAAACCTCATCAACTACAATTGCTTCCTCGAACCAAGAGACACGGAATTTATGGGGATAATTTTGTCTAATTTTCATTCAGTTGACTGAATGAAAATTAAGAGTGTTTGGTACAACTCTGACCGGATTCATCTCCCGCTTATCGATTCAGTCAAAACATTAGGACTTAATGGTTATCTCTGACCGAATCAGATATTAGGAGCATTAAGAGCTCATTACGAGCTAATCAAACATAGCCTTAAATCATAACAAATTCTCTCATTTTTTATCTACAAATTGTTAAGTTTTTTTTTTTTTTTTTTTTCGATTTTATCAACCACGAAGCTAAGATAAAATTTCCGTTTCAAGTATTTTGTTATTCTGTGATGGTTTACACAACATGGTTTCTAATTTGTTTTTTTTTTTTTTAAATTGAATTTTGTTTTTAATGAAACAACAACATAATTGAAGATTATTCTTCGAGGTTACACCTGTGTTAGATAGTAGAGAGACATATATTAAGGTGGTGTTTGCAAATGATTATTTAAAAGCAGAAGTTAGTGATTGTGATTTAAGTTAGTTTTAAGTGCTTATTTCTAAAAGTTGGGGGTGTTTGCAAATATTTCGGAAAATGAACTAAAATTGAAAAAACAGGGTTAGGGGTGCTTTTAAAAAATAGCTTAAAGCAGATTATTTTAAGAGAGGCAAAACCAAAAGTTGATTTTGCAAACACCTAAAAACAGATTATGAGCAAAAAAAACCGCATAATCACTTTCAAAAAGTATTTGCAAACACCACCTAAGTTTTCGAAAGAAAGTAAGAAACTGCTATTAGTCGTGGCATGCGTTTGATAAAGTATTTTAAAAGAGCCGATGGATAGTACGTGTGTGTGAGAAGTATGGAATTGAATCCCGGGACAAAGAATGCATATGTGGTGACTCCATAATCGACTTGATGGATTATGACGATTTAAATTGTAAGTGAAAATCATAATCACGATTTGATAAATTATTCGCATAGACAACTTTCGACCAGTCGTTTGACTCAAGAGCAGTACGAAATAACAAGAGTTTTTACAAAAAGCCACGCGAAACCGATTATAATTTTGGATCATTTCAGAAAGAAGTTGCCGTAGACTACGTACGATCGAGCAGACATAATTACAATGTGTAGGCGAAGATAAAAGTAACGGAACTGGGGGCGGGCGATTGTGCAACAATTGATGCATAAATTCCAACAAAATGAGTATTGCCGCTGGCATTGAAAAAATAAAGTGGGAAATACAATGACCGACGTTATGTTTGCGCACCCCAATTCAATCAAACTTTTGCGTTTATTTCCATATGTTATATTGATGAATCTAGAGCTTTTATCTGATCTCGGATCATGCTCACCTTGATCCCGCCCTTGTTCCAATTCGCATATAACTCCTCTACGTCGACTCCTAACAATCCAACAAGAGCATGTGCACACTCATCCTGTTTTGGAAAACCATCCACTACCTAGCCCTTCACACTCAACCTCATAATCATATGCACATCATGGAGTGTGATCGTCATCTCTCACTACGACATGCGGAAATTGTTCGTGGAGAGATTTTATAGATTACGAGAGTTTGAGAAAATGTTAGATTTTGAGATTTTTAAAAGCTAATTAGAATAAATATTAAAATTACTCCGTGACCTATTAATTTTAACTCAGTTGATATCATTTCAGTTCATTTCTTTATTTTTAATTTAAAATTATATAATTGCATTATATATATCATGATTTTTTAGGTATAATGAGCTTCATTTTTATCAATTGCAATGCTAATATAAAAGCAAATGTTTAAAAATAAAATTTGCTCAATATGAATGAACAAATTGAAACTAAGTTTAATATATTCGATTAGATATTTAAAATATAATGTTTTATTTAGATTTATATTGATAAAGGATATTATACAATTTTCTTATAATTAAATATTAAAAATTAAATAAATGTTATATTAATTAATGAATATTTTGTTATAGTTCAAAATATGAGAACATTTTTATAGGAATTACTAATTTCTACAATTAGAGCACTTTTTAATAAATATGGCAAAATGTGCATATTTGAAATTTGTTTGAATTTAAAATTTGTATATTTTGTCGAAATGCTATTAATTATTTTGAATTGATAAATTATGATGACAGTGCGTAACTAGGCATAATGTGCACATATTTATTGTTAAAAAATTTAGAAATTTTAAGTGAATTAGGTGGCGGATAATATATATATATATATACAAATCAACCGACCCATTCCGAAACGACTATTCGGTTGTCGATCGTTAACCAACTCACAAAGATTAGATCAACAACGATACTCAAGTTTTAACAACATCAGTTTATTGGATGAGTCTATCCTTATTTCGATAGTCAACCGACCCAACTCGTTCGCAACCCTATATAATAAAATTATTGATTTAATTAAAATAAAAATAATTATTTTTGTGTGCATGTATGAACCCAGATTATATATTTTAATTTATATAAATCTTTCATACTTGTAATACTTCTCAACACCACAAAGCCCCATTTTGTGCATATAAAACCAAATAGGTAACACATACGAAGAGAAAAAGCAAGAGAGACCCCCATTTTTGATTTGTTCCACCCTACACCCGGTGAAAAACACCGGGTGGGTTTTCTGCTGCCATGTGTCTCTTTTTTGTATTTTATAATATATTCCCCGCTAGGGTTTACCTTTAGGGGTTTTAGAAAAATAAAAAAAAGGACACGTGGCAGCAGAAGACCCACCCGATGTTTTTCACCGGGTGTATGATCGAGGGAGCCCCCATTTTTTATGCATATGAAGCCAACCAGTTTGGTGTGTGTAGTTGAGAGAGAGAGAGAGAGAGAGAGCCCATACTGAGTGTATATAGAACCAAAAAAAAGTTGGTGAATATTCTGCTGATACAGTTAAACCCTAGAGATAGAGAGAGAGATATATAAAAGAATTAAATTGAGAGAGAGAGAGAGAGAGAGAGAGAGTCATTTATACACATGGCAACAAATAGGCTGGTGCACACTCACCACCCAGTTTTGTGAAGACAGAGATATATAGAGAGAGTGAGCCCTATATTTTTTCTTTAGAGACACAAACAGAAGAGAGAGATCTAGAGAGAGAAAGAAAGAAAGAAAAACCAGGAGAGAGAAAGAAAGAGAAAAAAAAAATCATGAGCACTGGAATTCAAGCAAACCTATGGCTCGTGTACGCCGTCAAACGCATCGGCTTCGACGACTGGAATGCGGTGGCTAAGCAGCTGGACAAAACCGGCATACAGCACAACTATCTTCTGCCGCCGTACTCCGCCGCTGCCTGCAAGAAGAAGTACTTCATCATTCGCAAGAGGTTTATCGACAACCGCAGCCCACTCACCGACGACGAGGAGGATGACGCCGACCGCGGCAAACAGAAAGTGAATGAGGAAGAAGATGACGTCACTGAAGTGCTGGACAAAGCTACCGAGAAGCCTCTGCTGGAGACGATGACGAAGGTGTACAGTCAACTCAGACAAGCTGAGTTGAGGATGCTGCTTAATGGAGACGCTGAAGCTCGTTTAGCCAAGTAATTAACAATTTAATTAATTTCATTTGTCCATTTATTTACAGATATGCCATTGCATGCATCATCATTTTTTTTTTCAGGGCTAAAAAAGCAAGATCCAAAAGGAACAAGAAGTTTGCGGCGAAAGATAGCAGCAATTCGTTATCGAATTCCGGCGAACCATCGGAAAAACCTGCAGAAAAAATCTCGGCCGCCGTGGAAGAAAAGCCGGTGGTTCGAAAGATTCCGGATTCTTCCTTGACCAAGACTGGACTTCCTACTAGCAAGGTAATTTAATTTTCCCAATTCAAATTAATTATTTTCTTAATTAGTTAATTAATATTCAAATTTGTCTGTGAAAATTAACAAAATGGTGTTGAGTAATGTTTGCAAATTGCATATAAGGTCTGTAATTACTGTGTGCCAACTGGGATTTTGCATGCATTGACTCTGGATAAGTTTGTATTTATTACATATATATATATAGAGAGATTATATTAAGACAACACAATCAACAAAAATAGGGATTAATTAATTGATACAGATTAAAATGTTCAAAACAATAAATTTGCCAACGTCTCTTTTTTGAGATTGAACAACGTATCAAAACTGAAACTTATACTAC